GCCGAGAATTAGCGAGTGCCTCTACTGGAATTCTAGGTGGATGGCATCTCCCCACGAGGGGAATCTCCTCTCCGTCTGAAGCATCTAGACCACTCGAACCTGAATGGGTCGGCTCAACTAGAGGGCGCCTCTGAGGCTCCGACCTCGGCTCTAGTTAGCCGTTGTCATGGGACTCGCTTGACTGCTTATAATTAAACATTAAATAGGTGTCAAAAATACAGTCCATTTTATTTATCACCTTTAATAACATCAAGACAAACACTGAAGATAAAAATTAAACAATAATATTTATTGGTAGTTCTTATCTGTTCGTAACCGTAAAAGTGTCAAATAAAATCAAGATACGCCAAACCACTTTGAGAAGCTGCAAATAAATATGCAATCTCACAGACCGAAGTAACAGGAGATAAAATTTATTTTTATACGGATCCGAAATGAATCATCTCTGCATTAAGTGATAACGAAAATTGGTTTTAATAAATTTCTTTCCTTATGAGGGCTTTTTGCGAACCGATGATGTTTGTTCAAAACGTTTACACAGTGCAGGTGTAGATCAGTGATTCAATTCAAAATTCAATATCGTTTATTCAGTCTAGGCTGTTACAAGCACTTGTGAATGTCGAAAAGCTACGCCATCGGTTTGCAAATCTACGGCGGGAGACCTTGTACTGAGAAGAACCGACAAGAAACTCAGCAAGGGCTGTTTTTTTCTCCCTGTGTTATATACAGAGTCGCCAAATTGAAAAATGACTTCAATTTTGAGGTAACTCATAAAGTCACTTTCCATTACAATGCAATGCAAAAATTATGACTACATAAAAACCTTAACAAAGTTTAGGAATGCCGTGTCCTACTGTTTAGGCAAAAAAAATTAACGATTATAAGTTTAGTACAACGATTAATAGTACACAATGAAGCAAGAGCAGACTCATCTCCGCTGGCAGCACCCGTTCACGAGTATGATGCATGAAACAGCCATCGCTTTGCTCAACCATTTTTTAGGGATTAGTTTCAAACATAAAATTACTTTTTAATACTTCTATAATATAATCCAATATTGAGGAGATATCGATGGCGCAAGTGGTAAGCGCGTTCGTAACCAACTTTCGCAATGGTCGGTTATTGGATGGGTGACCAAAAATTTACTATTTCGAGCTCCTCCGTGCATCGGAAGGCACGTTAAGCTATTGATCCCGGCTGTATATATACTAACCAACGCGATATTTAATATTAAATAAATAAAAATAACTTAAATAAATATTTCCAACACACACCAATTAGCCTAGCCCCAACGAAAGCACTAAAGGAAAGGCTTGTGTTATAGATACTAGGGTAACGGATAGAATACATATACTAGTCATATATAAATATATTTATATAGAAATACATATCAAACATCTATTACTGATGATACAAATGCTCGTATTCATCACACAAATATCTGCCCCCATCGGGATTCGAATCCGAGACTTCTTGAGTCGGCGACACCATGAAGCCCGGCGTACAAATCACCCAGCAGAACGTCGTAGGTATTCGTTCTAGTGTTGAGCTTAAATAGTTCTCGGTATGGCATGTCACACTAAAAATCATAAAACTTATCAGCAATCGAACTGTAACAAGACCCGAAGTAATAATTTTAACGAAACTGATACATATTACTGGGTTTCTTTGGACTGTGACATATTATGGACTGGTTTTCAGTGTCTCCAAGAATTTGTCCAAAAAAAATTCGCGTGGGTGCGATTTAATGCTGCACCATAAATAAATGCTAAGCTATCTGCTTCTTGGTTATTTTTTTCTATTATTCAACTTTATGAATCACTGGGTTTTTGTGCATTATTTTTTTATTTATTATATCCGGTGAATTAAATTATACTTATCTACATTTTATATTCTTTTCATTGTCCCCTGTCTGTGTATCAAACGAAGTGATGGCAAGTTAATTGTCGACTTGTTAAAGTTAATTACTTGTCATGTTTCACTTTGAAGTTCATGGACAAGGAGCGATGGAGAAATATATAGGACGCCAACAGCTGTTACATTTCCCGCGCCGATAGTAAAAACTGGTTACTGTCGAGTTGGATTCATATGTAAGTACATAATAGGTTTCGTAGAAGTCTGAAAATCAAAAACTGGGTCAATTGAAAAAAAAGTGTGCACGGATGGAAAAGGAAATGGGTCACGAGCGTCTGTGTGTGTGTGGGATACGTGGGCAGCTCTTCCCGAAGAACATGAAAGTTTCAACTTTAACGCTGAAACTGAAACGCTACGAGCGTCACACGCGACGATATAGATATACAGGATGGTCCAACTAGTGACGTCTACAATTTTTTTAGATTCCTCGCACCTGGGGGTGTCCGAAAATACCCCATGTATGTTCCGCGATTTATCTTAGTTTTCGAGTTATATTTTTTTTTGTGTATTTTTAATGATTTCTGCCAGCGAGGTTTCAAAAATTCTTATCTTTTTTCGTAGAAGGTATTTTGCAGTCTTTTTTCTTCGTGACATAATTGTCTTGAATGTTGTTTTAATAAAAAAATAACTGAGCTTCCTGCAATTACTTAAAGTTACTCAAAAAAGGCTTGAAAGTTGAAACTTTAGTTTTAGTAGGATTTACTCAAACATTCAACTTCAATTTAAAAGTACAAAAAGGAGTTTCCATAGGTTCTCGCTAAAATTAAAAACTCCGCATCCGCGAGAAATATAAAAAAAAATTGTTGACGTCACTATTTGGACCACCCTGTATATGGGTGATGGGTGCGCTGCTTCATTCCCCTATGCCTTATGCACTGCCTAATGTTAGGTTATTTAAGAAAAGAAGTTTCACTTTAGATATATTTGTTTCATCTAAAACAGCGCAATAAAATTTGCTTCATTACACTTTAAGTGAATCAATTTTCCCATTCCACAATAGACTTATCTGGTTACAGACAGGTAACTTTGTACCTACCTACAGACATGATTAAAGGCTTTCATTACTGCTATAATGTTGCCAGCGAAACTTTCAACCATTACACTTTGTGTGTCAACGAACTGGTACAACGTGATAAAATTGATCAAGAAATCAATTTCATTCGCTCACTGAGTAGTCGGAGCAACATACTCGCATGCCCTACATGGTTTAGTTTGATTAAGTTTTCTAACCAGAAAGTAGCAGCTTTATTATAGATAATTTAAACAATTTCCATCATATTAGTTCTCTTTTCCTACCATTTGATTCATAGACTTACTGTGGCCACTATTCCTACACGAACAAAGAAATTTGGCGACTCATTTCTTTGTCGTACTATTCGTAAGTGGAATTCTTTACCCGCGCACGTGTTCCCTCCTTCTTATAATCTGGGGACCTTTAAGAGAGGCGTGAAGAAGCATTTTTGCGGGCCGGCAAGGCGAGGATGGTTGGTGTAGCAGTTTATAACTGCTGTACCAGCTATCTTCGCGTTTGGACTTTATCACCACTTAACATCAGGTGGGGTCAGGTCAGAGTCTACCTACCTAGTAATATAAAAAAATAAAATATATAATAAAGTTAGCCAACGCGTTTGGTCTTCGTGGTGGAACTGAAAAAACTTTTTATAATCACTGTAATATTAAAAAAGCGACAGTGTTTGAGTGTGTGACTGTGTATGTTTGCTACTTCTTCACGTCTAAACGGTTGGAGCGATTTTAATATAATTTGGTATGGAGTTAGCTGACAATCTGGATTAACACAGGCTACGTTTTACTGCGGGAAAATATACCTAATAAACCACGGGTAACACCGCGGGGCACAGATAATCTCTTATCTATTAGACAAGTCCGTCCGTCTGTCTGTGGTGCTGTTTCAGCGGCCAAACCGTAAGAGATAGATAAAGAGAATATTTAAGTTATAAGTTAAGAATAGTCTGCTAAGACTACAAACCGGATTTGAGTAACGTAGCACTTCCGGTTTTCGAGAAATCACGTGATTTCTATTTCAAACGAAACCACACAAAATCTCCGAAGTTCTCAATTAATTAAATACTTTTTTTTTTTTTGTGAACATTTGGTTCACTGGTTTGCTAGTATATTATAATACTGTAATAGTGTGTGAGGAGCTTGATGGCGCAATTGGTTAGCGCGTTCGGCTGCGATCGTTGAAGTTAAGCAACTTTCGCAGTGGTCGGTCATTGGATAGGTGACTGAATTCTGACTTACTTCCTTTCCAAACACGTTCAAAGAATTGTATTCATAAAATGACTTGTGTAGGTGAAAAAATACGAAATAAGTATATTATTATTTCACTAACCTACTTACTTTCACATCAGAACATATTAAATTTCCGTTACCGATCATTAATAAGTACTAAATTCCTATTCATTAGTATCTTATTTACAAATTTGCAAAAACGTATTCACTTTCGAAGCACAGTCTGGTTAGGCAAATTTCATCTTTATTTTCGCTGACATAAGAACTTTTGAAATTATAAATAAGTACATGAAGACCAGTATTAAACAGAGCAGCAACAATTTCTAAGTAAAGAACGAGTGCTTGTTCGTTATTAAGTCGCGTGACTGCAAATTTGTTTACGTAGACTTTATATTCGGGACCTGATTTGTGGTATTATTTGTCTCGATAAGCCATTACAGACCTTATAACTTGGATAGTAAAGGCTATCATTCTTTGGTTATTGTCGCCATTAACGAGCTCATAAAAAAGGTTTTTCCTAATTATTAAAGGTGCGTTACGTGTTTCACTGTGTTTTTTTTTTATTTTGACACGAGAATTCTAGCTAACAACAGTATGCGAATAGTGATTTCAAATAAATTATATGATTTCTCACAATATTTACGAATTTATGAATATTTGTGATGTTACTTCAAATGTTGGAACTGAAAAAGCTGTAATATGAGCTTTTTTACTTGGTGTGATATTATTTCAAAATATAAAATCATTCTTTGTTATTCATAATAAAGGTCTTTAATGGGTTTTGGACTATAGAGCCTCGAACTAAAACTATGTTAATCATTTAAGAAACTTACGCAAAAATTCCAAGCAGCTGGTACGTCTGAAACAAATATAAAACATTAATTATTTAAATGTGAACATAGCGTAATTGGGTAGCATAGTAAAAATATACACGAGGAACTGGTGAATAAAACGGTATAATTTCGCCCTGGTCAAAATACTTTTTTTTACAGTCCGGAGGTTTCGGGCCTGTTAAATTTGGATGTCAAATATTTTTCAATTAAAACCGCCTAAAACAGTGTTAAAATTACTAATTAAAAACCACGCCAAAACTCACTGGAGGTATGTCATTCAGTTTGTACAAATCCTGTAAAATTTTATTTTAGGTAATTATATCGTTTTGTTCGCGAGCTCCTCATTACATTAATATCTTTACGCCATTGTAGAACCTACGTTATCAGCATGGCATCAAAGGTGGATGACACAAAGCTTAACACCAAAAGGACATTGGGCAAAAATATATGAACGCTGCACTCACGTCCGCCACGGCTTAAAGTACATTTGTTTGAAAGGTATTATAGTCAAGATCATCCGTGCCAAAGCGCATCAAATTCCATCCCGGGGGTCTTTAGTTAATTTAAGTTTAATATGTACAGGTACTATAACGAATGAACAATAATGTAACAAAGAAATTAATTTAGTTAGTTAGTTCGACCCTACATAGTGTGCTCAGGAATTATGGGAGTACTTCACAAGGTGCAAGAGTGCCCCCTTGTGTTATTCTGCCGCGCTAGAGTAAATCCAAAAATCCCTGCATGGGTTGGGATTTTTTTAAACATTCTGTTCGTTATAGTAAATTGTCTTCCATGTAAAACGGACCGACCAGAGATTACACAAACTTGTCCACGCTTCGGAGAACACATAATTTCAGTTCATCCATACTAAAAGCGATTAGGAAAACAGGGTGCGCGCAGACCACTTATGATCGAAGTTGTGAATAAAAGGATGACTAAATACATACTACATAACTCAAGGAAATTTAAAAATACCGGATTGGCTGTGTACATGTATTTGGAAGGAGAAAAATTACAAGAAAGGAACCAATTAAGACAAAACCTACAAAACGCAAGAAAAAGTGGAAACCAAGCATATATAAAAAATGATAAACTTTACATAAATGGCTCGCAGTGTTCTATCGTAGCCCATAATAATATCCGGACCGACAACGTTGAAAGAGAAATGCTTTCGGGTTCTCAAAAGAAATTAGAACCCTCGCGTAAGGAGATGTCAAAAAACTAATTACGACACCTGAAGATTTAATAGTTATATGTCAGAATATACAAAGCATTGGAAATAAGCTCCATATTTTAGAACATTTCTTATCCAACTCTAATATAGATATATTGCTTTTGTCAGAAGTGTGGAAAAATAGATATTTTTGTGATTCTATTACATGGGCAGGGTATAAAATGGCTTCAATATTCTGTCGTGAATTTCATGAAGGAGGAGGAGTTTGCATAATTGTTAAGGACACTATTACTTTTGTTGAGAGAAAAGACATTGTAAATTTGTCGAAAGAATTTGTCATAGAATTTAGTGCAATTGAAATACCTAAACTAAATTATATAATCATAGGTTTATATAGAGCGGACCGCGAGATAAATATATTTGAACAACAGATGTCAAAATTATTAAAAAAATTAAATTCTAAAGACAAAAATAAAAACATAATAATTTTAGGTGACTTTAACATAAATACTTTAACTAAAACTAAGCAAAATGTTGAATTAATAAACTTAATGCTATCCTTTAATCTTAAACTAATCATTAATGAGCCCACTCGCGTAACAAAAACATCTTCCACTTGTATTGACTTGGCTTTTACTAACAATGAACCTATATTATCTGAATACTGTGTAAAAGACTACGGCCTTTCGGACCATAGAGCTGTTAAAATAAAAATAAAACAACCATGTAAACAGAGTAATAACACAACGTGGCATATCAAAAAAAGAATTTTCACTAAAAGTAACATAAATAAATTTAAATTAATGATAAAAGACATAAACTGGAACAATAAAATAAATAAAGATAATGACATTAATAAAAATTATGAAGTATTTCTAAATGAATTACTAAAATGTTTAAATATATGTATACCTGTGCAAAAAATTAAATTAAATAACTATACTAGAAAGGGCTGGTTAACAACTGGTTTAAAAAATCATGCACGCATAAACGTATGCTAAGAAAAATATTGAACGAAACTGGAAATCAAACTATTAGAAAATTCTATAATAAATACAGTAAAATATTAAAAAAATGTGTGAAAATATCAAAACAAAAAGAATATATTAGACTGATAAAGAAATCTGACAATAAATATAGATCTATGTGGAAAATAATTAACATGAAAACTGGTAAAATTAAACAGAAAAGTCGTAAAAATATATCTCTGAAATCTAATAATAGTATAATAAATTGTCCTAGAAATGTAGCTAATACTTTTAACGAATATTTTTCAACAATAGGCGAGTCTGCAAATACATCAACATTTAAACAAACTAGTTCACCAAATACACCTACCTGTTCCATGTTTTTACATCCTGTCGACTTAAAAGAGATTTTAAACATTATAAAAACAATGAAACGTAAATATAGCTGTGGAATCGACGATATTCCTCCCATTTTGGCCAAAGAATGCGCGAGCGAACTATCACAGCCCCTCACTATGCTCGTAAATCAAAGTTTCCAAGATGGCAAATTTCCAGACTTATTAAAAATTTCACTAATCAAACCAATCCACAAGCAAGGTGACACTCAAAACCTCGTGAATTATAGACCCATCGCGTTGCTTCCCACTTTTTCAAAAATATTTGAAAAAGCAATGTGTAATAGATTATGTAAATTCCTTGAAAAGTATAAAATATTAGACAATAGCCAAAACGGTTTCAGAAAATCCAAGTCAACCACTTTGGCAGTTTACCAATATATCCAAAATGCGTTACAACACTTAAATGATAAATATAGCGTGTTAGGCTTATTACTTGATCAAAAGCATATGAAAAAGTATCATATAAAATACTGCTATCGAAACTATATAATTCAGGAATCCGTGGTCCAGCCTTCTCTTGGTTCAAATCATATCTTCAAAACAGAAAACAAATAGTCCAATCGAACACTATAGCAACAAAAATGAAATAATGAATATACATTCAGAGGAAAAAAGTCTATCTTGCTCTATCCCGCAAGGCAGCGTGTGTGGATGTATTCTTTTTTTGATATACATAAATGATCTACCAAAAATATTTGATAGGAGTGAAGCACTACCAGTTCTTTTTGCGGATGACATATCAATATTGCTAAAATTTCAGAAGGGAACTGATCCAAATGCATTAATAGAAAAAACTTTAGATACTGTAACAACTTGGCTCGAGAACCATAATTTAGAGATAAACTATAAGAAAACGAAAGCTATACAATTCAGAACATATAAAACCCCACCATTAAATGTTACAGTTGTTTACAAAAATATAAATATCGAATTAGTAGATACATTTAAATTACTCGGTATAACTATAGATAGTAATTTAAACTGGAAAAGTCATATTGATTATGTTAAAACTAAATTATCCAAATTTATATACGCACTCTTTGAAATTAAACAGAGTACTAACTTAGAAACAGCTCTTTCTACATATTATGCATATGCCTATTCCTGGTTGCGGTACGGGTCTATGCTGTGGGGTAATAGTGTGAATTCACATGATCTTTTTGTTATGCAGAAGAAGTGTATTCGTATCCTTGCACAAATAGACAATACAGTGAGCTGCAAACCTTTCTTTAAAAAATATAAAATACTTACTCTTCCAAGCATATACATACACGACATATGTGGTTTTGTATTTAAAAATTCTAACGCGTTTAATAAAGTTAACCAAACCCATAATATTAATACCCGCCATAAAAATAGATTAAATCATCCCCCATCAAGACTAACCATGCTTAGCAATAGCCCCTACTACATGGCAGTTAAGATATTTAATAAATTACCACATTCTATAAAAAACCAAAAATCTATTACCACATTTAATACAAAACTTAAAAAATTTCTAATTGATAAATGCTTCTATTCTGTGGATGAATATTTAAATTACAAATAGATAATAATTTAATATATGAATGCACAAAGTTAAAAAGAAAATATATTTATTAGATTTTAAATATACTTTTTAATATATATAATGAAAACTTTACAACAAAATAATACTAATAAGGCGATTTTTTTAAAATACAAACCTAGTATATAATAATCATGTTAATTGACATATTATTTTATTTTTTTTATTTTATTTTTATTGACATATTTATTAATTTTAATTATTGACAAATTTAATTTAATTTTATAAATGAATTTCCATTTCTATTATATTTCTACTGTTAATAAGATCAATTGAGTAAGTTATATTGTTAAACAAATGGAATCAGATGATATTTATTTTAGACACAAATTAGGTTCCTTATATACTATTTATTAATTAGATGCTTTTTTAATTTTATATAACTGTTTATTAATTAGATGCATTTGTAATTTTTATCTTTAACTGTACTGTATATTGCGATACCCTGACAGGGTTCATGTTAGGTACTATAAACATTTTGTAACCATCGATGTAACCACATGAGTGCAATAAATTGAATTGAATTGAATTTAATTAATTGACAAATCCGAAAATCGTGTTCCAATGTCCAAAGCGTGTTAGTTAAAAATCAATCAAATAGCAGGGATCGCACAATCACAACGAAGTAAGACGAGTCGACTATTTGCAACTGCAAGTCCTTCAGCATCCGTAAACCGTTTTGAAATGTCTCAGATAGAGCAAGCGCAGGATGGTCGGCAGGCTTTGTCGTATATCTGGTTTTATAGTACGATATGGCATATTATTATGATTACTAATAATATAAAATGAAAGTATTATAAAATGCATTTATTCAGCTACTTAAATATGCCCATGTATCATATCTACTGACTACCAGAATATTTTTTACGATGTCATATATTTTGACTCCCAGGATATTTATTTTCGGTGTCATAATAAA